ATTGCATCCCCTAGTCCTTTGAATGTTCTTATGAAAGATTGCAACTAGCGTGACCTACTTTACAGCACAGAATTTTGAGGGACAGAAAGATTTAGTGAAGAAATAGGATTCTGTGCTTTAATTGTTTCCTTTAAGACATCCTATTCTTTCAAAAGATATGTCTTTTTTTTAAAATCCACCTCAAACTGGTGGTCATTCAAGGGATGCAAACATAGCTGGCCAGGGAAGCCAATGGTTTTGCTTTCTGGAGTCTCTGTGAAAGCAAGTACCCAAAAGTGCTTACCCAGGAAGTTGTCCCTAGGGGGCGCTGGTGATCTGGGCACAGGCCGAAGTGATGACTAACACAAAGATTGCACTAGGATAAGACCAAGATCTTCCTTCAAAGCATGGCTGTTAGCTATTTGGCCTTGCCTGTGGGTGAGGTGGGCCTTTATCTATTTGATATGGTTTAAGGATACTGAAATGCCTGGCTGCACTCTCATATCTCCTGTATCAAACTACCTTGAGGCCTGTTATTAAAGATACTCTTTTGAGTTAAGGCTAAGGTCTCCAAAGGCTCTTCTTAAAGTTCATACTTAGCATGAATGAATTGATAAAATTTATTGGTTGGTAGCATAGTGGCTAAAGCACTTGACTGCTAACCAGAAGGGTTTGAACCACCAGCCACTCCTCGGAAGGAAGGTTGGGCAATCCTACTTCCGTAGTGATACTGCCTTGGAAACCCAGGGAGGGGTCGCTATGAGTCGGGGTCGACTCGACGGCACATAACAACAACAACATTGGGCCACCAAGAATCTCCAGTATAGGAGGAAGACAGAGTAACCTGGGTCATAATTTTCAAAGCCTATGTTGGAAGTCACCTTTTGTTCACAGTTCTTGCCCTTGCTCACTCTTCCAGGCCTTCAGTCTGCCTAATTTATTTGAAAGACCACAGACCTCTGGGGCTGGGCTTCAGGTCTTACTCTGACTCAGAAGAGAGCCTGTTTCCATTTCCTCAGTGTTTCCGTGAAACTATAGATTAGGTGTCTCAAGATTTTTTCTGGCTCTCTGTCTTGCTTAGTCTCCACAGCCCCACATCCTATTTTGACTACTGATTATTCCAATATAATTTGTCTAATAAAGTGTATTACCTGGAAAATGTCCTGATTTTAATACCCAAGAAAAGGGAAGAGAATGGTGAGGTTTATTTCTAGAGAATATTCCTGAGTGATGTATCAAAGGAGAGAGGTGAGGAGAGGTCAGGAATCAAATGATAGAAAACAAGACTGTGCAGACCATAGCAGGGTTAAGCCCAGTACCTCCTGGGTGAGCATTCCTGGCTACTTGCTCTTACAGAGGCCCCTAAGGCCAAAGGCATCCAATTCCTGGCCAACTACCTCTGCATTCCTTGAATAGCAGCCAGTTTGAAGCAGATTTAAGAAAGACAATTCTTTTGAAAGAATAAGCCAAACCAAACCCACTGCTGTTGAGTAGATTCTAACTCATAGCAACCCTACAGGACAGAGTATAACTGTCCCATATGGTTTTCAAGGCTGTAATCTTTATGGAAGCATCTTTCCTCCACGAGCAGTTGGTGGGTTTGAATCTCTGACCTTTAGATTAGCAGCAGAGTGTTGTTGTTGTTATGTGCCATCCAGTCGGACCCGACTCATAGCGACCCCTCCTTGGGTTTACGAGGCAGTATCACTACGGAGCTCTGGTAGCATAGTGGCTAAGACACTTGCCTGCTAACCAGACGGCTGGCGGTTCAAACCCACCAGCCACTCCTCGGAAGGAAGGTTGGGCAATCCTACTTCCGTAGTGATACTGCCTCGGAAACCCAAGGAGGGGTCGCTATGAGTCGGGGCCGACTCGACGGCACATAACAACAACAACAACAACAACAACATCACTACGGAAGTACATTGCCCAACCTTCCTTCAGAGAGCAGCAGAGTGCTTAACCAGAAAGAAGGGCTTATTTTAAAGGAAGAAATTAAAATATGGAACCCTGCTTCACAGGCCTCTCTACCCAGCAGGGTTTCTTCGACAATGTCCCATAGAAAGCCTGTGTTCTTAAACACCTAAAAAGGAAGGCTGTGAACATTTGGAAAAATAATTCAAATGCTCACCATTATACTACCAATCAAATTATGTTCCAGCTTTTATCTTTTTCTGACAAAATGTTTGTAAATACATTAAGGAAACATGGTTTTAAAGCAGGGACAGCAATTCCATTGTCCTCAGCCATGCACTAGACCGGCGGTTGCTTGCAGGCCCAGGTGTGCCCATTTAATTTTTAATTTCCTTTTTTTTTTTTTTTTTTTTAAAGAAGATACCTAGATGCTTTTTGTGAAATCTCTTAATTTTTAAAATGTAGACAGCTGATTTTGGGGAAAAAAAATCCTTCTGCTGGCCACTCAGATTGTGACCCCTGGTCCAGGGCAGCCACGGTTGGGCACCTTGGTTTAATCTTGCACAACTGGTCATTTGATGGAGATGCCCTTCTGGACAGTGAGCTAGTAGTTTGGAGGAGTCACTCTCAACTCATGCTGATCCCAGGGGAATAAGGGGCGGGGGGAGGAAAGAGCTTGGAAGAGATTGAGAGAACCCGGAAAGACAAGTTGATTGGGCAGATCAAATACTACTGACTCAACTGTGCTTATAAAAACATGACTTTTCTGCCCTCCTCTTGGACTTCACTTAAATCTAATTAGAAAGCAAATTTTTCATAATACTTTGAATGTTATTTCAATTTTCACTGTGGTTATCTATAAACCTAAAAACAACAAACAAATCAACCCTTTGTTTTAGACTGACCAGTCTTCAGCCTTCTACACTCAGAATCAGGGAATGAAACATTAGATTTCCAAGAAATGACTCTTCTTTCTTTTCATTCAATTTCATTAATTACTTTTAAACTCTTACTTCCAGTTTATCCCCCAAAATTTCACAAGGAATAATGGGATTATAGTGCTAAGGAAATCAAATTATATTTTTCTTCCTGGCCTTTATAACTGATTATATACAAATATTAATTATTATATATAGTGTATAACTATATCAAATGTATTATGGTTGAATTTTTACGTCTCTGTGAATTATGGTTTTAAATGTTATCATAGCAATTATCAATGCTCATTTGGAACCCATGAAGGTGTTAAGAAGATGAGAACATTCTTTTTGAATGATCTTAGATTTAAAAGAAAACTGTAATCATATATAGAATGCACCAGTCTTGGCTTTTTTAATGTGCTCAGGAAATATTTTTTTGATTGAATGAATGAGGAAATAATGATGGAAAAGAAATGTCTCTGACTTAGGAGGGGTAATGACTCCTTCCCCTTTAGGAAGTTAAGGTGAGCAGGTGCAATTCATTATTGGGGGTTCATGGAGTCTTAGATTGCCAACTGATCCCCAGGAGGCCAGAGCAGGTGCCAGCTTTAGTCATCAGCTAGCCCAGTAATTCCAGTTCTACTTTCTTCATTTTTGCCATGTCAATGTACCTGAACTCTTGCTTAATATTTTTCTTTAAATCAATTCTATTAAAACAGGCATCTATCACTGCTATGAATGACACACTAGCATCACTGGCCAACACAAACATACCTTATTGAATTTCAGTTAAATAACATTGATTGCATTCCTGGAGCCTGAGACACCTATTCTGCCTTTGTTAAAAAGGGGAAACTACCAAAGGTTACAAATATTAAAATAAGGTTCATTTTAATAAAGTAAAACTAGTTTTAGCAAAGTAAGGGCTTTTTCTTTTCTTTCTCTCTTTTTTTTGATAGCATCAAAAAGACTGAAGACTTGAAAATGTAATTATTTCCTATGCTATTGAAAGATATCAAAGACACTGTATGTTGTACATCATTAGAGTATGTTTCATCCTTAGAGATTCCAATCTAGTCCACCCTCCTCATTTTACAGATGCTGTTCAAGGATTTGCCCATTTGCAGAAATGTGACCCAAACCTACATCTCTTGTATTCAAATTTAACACTTCCTCCACTATATCCCTGGAATGTTGATAGATAATTTCTCTAACTCACCTACTGAGAGATGTATAGCCACTTGAAACAAAGAAGGAAGCAGAAGTCTTGAGGCAAAATGGAACAAACAGAATGGAAATATCGAGAATGTTCACACATTGTGAAGAATCTAGCCAATGCTACTGAAAAATTTGAGTAGAAATTGTTGAATGGGAACCTAAACTGCTGTATAAACCTTCACCAAAAACACAATAAGATTTAAAAAAACAAAAAAAGAAAAGAAAAAAAAAGAAGTTGTGAGGCAGAATTTGTGTAGAAATGGGGAGGCCCTGGACCCCACAGTGAAGCTGGCAGAGATATGGATGAGGCATTTAGGGGGCTACTAGGGAAAGAGGTTACTGCCTATCATCCTGTTTCAACCCTTCACTTTACAGATGAGGCCACCTCAAAACAAACAAACAAACAAACACCTCACTGCCATGGAGTCAATTTCAATTCATAGCACCCCCATTGGGTTTCCAAAGCTGTAAATCTTTATGGAGGTATATTGCTCCATCTTCTTCCCACGGAACAGCTGGTGGGTTTAAACTGCTGACCTTCTGGTTAGCAGCCAAATGCCTTACCCACTACACCACCAGAGCTCCTTACAGATGAGGTCAGAGAAGGTGAATGACTTGCCCAAGATCTCGTGGTCTCTCAGTGGTAGAGGGGGATGACAGCCCCTTCTTTTCACTTCCAAACCTGCTTTATTTATATGGCACCATTCCAGTTTTTCAGCTGTGACACCTCTGCCTGTCACTGTAAAACTTAAAATAGCACTCATATCCTATGCATATGTGTGCAATGGTATTTAACAATTTTAATAGTTTTACTTTGCACCAACAGGAAGAATTGCATCTTTATCCCTGCACCACTTTCTCCCAGAGTCCCTGCCTGGAGCTAATAACTTGTCCCAACCCCATGCTGCCAAGTCAAGGAGAAAGTGCACCCCAGCATCACTCTGGTGGCTGTCCCCAATAGTAACTCACCGCAAATCGCTTCCCACAGCTCTCGTTGCCACAGCACCCACAGCAGTCATTGTTCTTCAGGCCCAAGAATACCAGTGCAGGGAAGATCATCTGCCATCAAGAGAAGCAACTCAGAGATGGTTTGGGGATGTGAAGGGTGTGCCCATGCTTGTCTGGTTGTGTGAGGACTCACGTCCAGGATGTGGGACTTGTGGCAAGACCTAACAAAACATAGCTGATGGCGCAGAGTGAGTGTTAGGTTTAGGTTCCATTTAGCCTGAGTAACTTCAGCTTCCATGAGGCAGAATTTAAAGATCTAACACTCTGAGTTTCCATGTAGGTGGTGGATAAGAAATTTGTCTTTAATTGCCCAGTGTCCCTGAAAAATGAATCTTTTTCTTTCTCTCCCCTTCAACTGGAGGTTCCCAACTTCTATTGAAACCAAAGAATAAAGGAATCATCATTAGTGCATGAATAGAAGAGGAATTTACTGGCACTTTGGCTCTTTGTAGTTTGAAGTCAATGAATTTGCTAGAAAGAGTAGTTTGGGGTTTTTGTATGTTTTTGTTTTTCATGGCACAACCTTTTTAGAATAAAGAAATCACATGACCTTCATTTTGGTTCAGGGGACTCAATTGACTCATGAGAAAGACCAGCCCAAGCACAGGAATTTGTTCCTGGATGTGTCCTGGTCAGATTCATACACAGAAGGGTAAAAATTGAGGCATTGACTTTTCATCATGTAGCTCTAGAGTTTTTGTTAGCAAGTAAGTATCCTCCTGCTTACAAGTACCCAGTTCTAAAAGGGAGAGACAATATTTTCTTCCATCAGAGATTTTTAGTCTTCCCTACACATGGGGACACTATGAGTCAGAATTAAGTGGAAACAATGAATTTTTTGTTTTGTTTTGCTTTGTTTGTTTACTCACCAAGACCCCGCTGCCAAGTATTCCTCCAAAATACCAGATCTCCTTGGAAAGGTGGTCGTTGTCGTCTATCACTTTTCCTCCAGGGAAAAACAGCAGAATATTAGCCAGGAAGCCAAACACGGCAAGGGGAATGAGGGTGCCCCCCAGGCACCTGGCACAACTCCCAGTACACATGCTGGGAAAGCAATACAAACGCAGGTAAAAGGCCCCTCACTCTGCCTCCTTCACAGGATCTTCAGTTTTCTGTCAGGGGGTCCTAGTAATTGTCTTCAATTCAAATTAGTGTTTAGGGGCTGAGGACAAAATCAGCCTAAGAATAGTATCCTTGGATTTGCTGCAGCCTCTCAAATATTGTCTCTCAGGCCCTCACTGGACATTTATATGTTCTTCCTGTCCTGACGTCCTATGTGTTTGCACCCCTATAAATGAGATTATGTTCCAAGTAATCGTTTTGCCATGGAGACCAATAACCCCTGTTAATAATCCACCAGCACAGACAAGACACTCACTTTGTTGCAATCAAGACAGGACTGGAACAAACAGCATTTAGAGCCATTACACTTTTCATCTGACAATGCTGCTGCCCAAATAAAGAAATATCTCCTCAAAACTCTTTATAATACACTCATGTAATTGAGTTATATCCTGGCTAAAATCATGGCTTCTGAGTACTTACTGGTCTACATGCGTCACTTTGCCTTTACCACTGAAAGCCTAGAATGCAAGGGTTATGCAAAAGAGCGTCTATTTTTCTCAATATGAAAATAACAATTTGGTGGTCTGTTTGGGCATTGCCATGTTCAGGCCTAACAACAGCAACAACAACAACAACAAACATTGCCATGGAGTCTATTAAATGCATCTCCAGGTCATTCTTCTGGGGTGCTGCTTTGTGGGTTCAAACTGCCAATCAATATGCTAGTAGGCTAGCACAAACCATTTGTGCCCCCAGGGACTTATGCTCAGGCTCAAAGGATGCTTTTAAAGATAAAATAAGACTAACTATTAATTTTTGGCCTGATTGCTATATTTCTACACTTGTATGAAGTTCATGGGGGCAGTGGTAGTTCAGTGGTAGAATTCTCTTTTTCTGTGGTAGAGACCCAGATTCAATCCGGCCAATGCACCTCCAGTCACCACCCATCTGTCAGTGGAGGCTTGGGTGTTGCTCTGATGCTGGGCGGGTTTCAGCAGAGCTTCCAGACAAAGATGAACGGGAAGAAAGGCTGGATAATCTACTTCCAAAACTCAGTCAGGGAAAATCCTGTGGATTACAATGGCCTGATATGCAACTAATCAGGGGGATGGCACAGGATCAGGCAATGTTTTGTCCTATTATGTATGTGGTCCCCATAATTCAGGGCCAACTCTACAACAACATTAAGTTAATACAAGTTTTTGAAGACAATCACTTTCTACCTAATTTCTTATATGATGTAACAGAATTAGCAAAAACAATTTTCCCAATCAATTTGTTCACCTGTGACATCCATATAGGAATAAAACCTCTGCCTTCACAAAAGGTAAGAGCAAAGTAAGGTTGACAGTGAGTAGACAGGAAGGAGAGTAAAGATACTGATGAATTGACTGGAGGTAGACAGGAGAAAGTTGGAAGAGCAGCTAAAGATCGTGGAAGATGTCAAGATGGACTCTTATTGGCCATTTTGCCAACTGCTTGGGGGCATAATTCAGTCACTAATTTGCTTTCAGTGTCACTTAAAAAGGTCTCTGCTATGCATGGACCAACTTCTAGTTTATGCAATGACTCTACTTGGTGCTGGTGTTACATAACTACTGGAGGTCTATGGGGTGGGATAGGGAGCTTGCTAGTTTTCAGTTTGATTCTAGAGGCTAAACTTAAGAGCAATAGCCACATTTTAGAGGCAGTCAATTTTGGTTGAGTAAAAAGCAGCTAACTCCATTATCATGGTGAGACCTACCTTGCTACAGACTCAATTTCCTGCTCCCAGGGGAGAAGTGAGCTGCATTCTGCCATGGCTCAGGGACTCTTGGAAAGCTGTGGAAAGGATTTAAGAGAAGTCAGATTGGATGGACACTGAGTTTCCTTCTAGAGAGTCTAAGAAATCTGTACTGGATGGCTTTCTAAAGATAATTTCAGAGATCTCAGGGTTGGGGTGAGAAGAAAAACATCAGACATTTATTAAGCATGTGTAACATGGCTACACAAATAAGCACTTTAAATGCTCCTTGCACACCTGTGAGAAGGAATCATGTCCCCTCTGCAGAGGAATACATTCTGATCCAGAGGGGTTAAGAACATTTTCCAAGGTCATCCCAGCAGATGTAAGGTGTAGGGAAAGAGCTAAGATTTTTATATTAAGACTCTATGTCACCAAAACCTGTGCTCTTACTCTACCCATCCTATTGTCTCCTTACTAGATTTTTTTTGGGGTGGGGGACATTAAAAAATTTTTTTTTCAAAATAAGCAATAGATTGACTCTGTGTGTGAAGCATATGTATACACTGAAAAATCCTTCTAAACAACAAAAAATATGTTTCTTTTCTTATTACCAAATAATACATTTGCTTTCTTTCTTTGGTAGAAAAATCAGATATAGAGACAAGCAGGAGGAACACTAGGAGAACCAGTTTTATTCACACCACCAGATGTTAAGGACCATTATCATTTTGCTGATAGTTTTTTCCAACACTCCACACAGGTACAAGTGGACTATATAACTCACCTGTTTTTAACAGAGAGTCTAAGAAATAATACCACCAATGAAGATACAGGGTCTGGGGATGTAAAGGTTGGGTTAATCAAACATAGATGCCACCTAGGAGCTAGGCAGCTTTTTCTGCCATTTGGGGTCTGAGTGGCTTTTTTTCTTTCTCCTTGTCTGTAAAAGTTACCGTCATGGCCCTTTGATCCATGCTGGTCAACACAGCTCTGATGACCTAGAATTTCAAATTAGCAAAATTCAAATTAGCAAAAAAATTTTCCCAATCAATATGTTCAGCTGAAGCTGCCTATCTATCCTATCTGAGCAAATGGTTAGAAAGAAATGATATTGTAGACCATACGGTGTTTTTCTTCAAAGAGTTTAAAGACGATGTAGTACATGAATACTCTGAGGGAGAGGCCTGAGGTAATTTATTTCCTGTGTGGAGACAGATAGTCACCCTTCTGGAATGACCTGACCACTTGAGACATCAACCCCTTGGGTAGTGACTGTGATGGATTTAATTGTGTCACCCAAAAATGTGTGTTAACTTGGCTAGGCAACGATTTTCAGTGATGTGGCAGTTATGTAGTGATGTGATTTGGCAGTTATGTCATGATGTAATGATCCCTCATGATGTGATCTGATGTGATCAGCCAATCAATTTGAACAGGGTTAGGGTAGGATGCAACACACTTAGATCACAGTCCTGATCCGATATAAGGGGAGTTCCCCTGGGGTGTGGCCTGCATCAACTAATCTCTTTTAAGAGATAAAAGGTGGAGAGAGGCCAGCAGAGAAATAAGGATGTCAGTTCTATCAAAAAAGAAGAGCCAGAAGTAGAGCATGTCCTATGGATCTGGGGTCCCTATGCTGAGAACCTCATAGACTCAGGGGAAGATTGATGTCAAGATATATGGAGATCACCAAGGGATGACAGGTCCACAAATGCTGGCAGGAGACAATAACCTTCCACCAGAGCCAACACACACATACACACATACAGAGAGAGAGAGATAGAGAGAGACAGAGAGAGAGAGAGAGGGACAGAGAGAGACAGAGAGAGACAGAGAGAGCTTTTCCCTAGAGCTGGCACACTGAATTCAGACTTCTAGCCTGCTAACTATGTGAGAATAAATTTCTGTTTGTTAAAGCCATCCACTTGTGGTATTTCTATTATAGCAGCACTTGATAATTAAGACCATGACAAACTCATTTATTGTTCAACTATTAATTGTTCATTCAGGTCTCCAAAGAGGAAGTGGAGCACCTATTCTGGAGAAGGGTGGTGCTGGGGGGAAGGGAGACTTGGTGAAAGTCATCCTCAAGAAAGGCAGTCACCAACAGATGGCTCAAGACTAAAGAGAATTTGATGAGCTTCTGGAAATCATCTTTATGACACCCAGGCTTGATGGTTTGTTGCCTGCTATCTATTCCTCTGGGTGTTCAGCAGTGAAGCCCTTTAGTCAAAATGGTTGGAACCTTCATTTCCAGAGTCTGCATGGAAGAGGTGGCTAAGGAAACTGAGCCACACTCTGCAGCTAGTTTTGTGGGAAGAAGACCTCAGAAGTGAAGGCAGGTGGTGGCTTTAAAAGAGACAGTAAGACATGAGGAATCCTTGATGGGAGAAAAGGAGAAAAATGCAAGCATTAACTACAAGAGACTGAGCAAAAGGAAGTTCAGGAGGTCCTCAAAGAATTGCAGGCCCTTGATTCATAACACTTTTCCATGTGACCCTGGGCACCTGCCAGGGGCACACAGAATACCTAGGTGAAGCTTCCTACTGCTTCTCAGTCTGTTAAACAACCTTACAGTGGGTGAAGAATCATCACTTCAGTGGAATACAGTGCAATCAGTAAGGGTGACTGAAGCACCCACCATGCATTGAACACTATAGCAAGTGTTGTACTGGTCAGTGTCAGATTACCTAATAAGCAGGGTAAGCACAGGCTTATTTGTGCTTACTTACTTACTGATCTTCTCACACATGAGAAAACATGTGAAATTATTTACTACAGATTGGTAAGTCCATGCTTCTTTGCTTATTGGGCAGTCCACCATTGGTACTAGTGAACAAATTTGACCTAAGACTTGATTTCTGCCCTCAAGACACAAGAAAACTCATGCACAGGGATTAAATGAGTAAATTGCAATTTAGCAGAAGTAGGACTAGGCTTTTTTGCTAGTCTTAAAGTAAATTATTCTCATCAATGCATTTAGTTCATCAGGGAAAAGATACTTGGATTTTATTAAGTTCAGGTTTCCATCATTGCTTGCCTAATTATTGGAACAATTTTCACTCTCTCTTTTTTTTTTTTGAAACAATTTTTTTTTTTTTTAAGTGATTTCCCAAAAGATTAAAGAAAAAAGAAAATATCACTGGTCATCACATGTGATAAAGATTGAACAATTTTAAGAAATGTTTATTACCTGTATATAGACATAACTTGTCTACAAGTTTGTTTTACTGTGGTGGCTTGAGTGTTGCT